AAAAAGAGATCTATGATCTCAATGGGACCAATCTGGTTAAATAAAGGTTTGAAATGAAATCTTCTTCTTACCAAAAATAATCATTAGAAATAAGATCAACATTGTTATGTTTGTAATCACAAACTGCCATAAATCCATCAACCATGAGACCATGAGCAGTCTCAACAGGCCTGCTCTCATATTTATCTGTTTAAATCTAGCACTAGGCACAAAGGCGATTTTTTGTAGTGGCCAAACGGTGGTACTAAAACTTCTCGGTCAAAATACTTTATTCAGTTGGGAATGTGAGGTCTGTCATTTTTTGCGAGAGACTCAGAGCAACTTTTCCAGATTGTAATTCTTAATGATTCACCATGTGGCACTCTTACTGTTACGTTGCACAAGGGCTGAATTTCTGGAAAATTAAAATGTGAGTCTTATTCCTGTAGTTTTAACTCTGTTTGTATCAATGAGCCTGTCCTTACCAAAGGAATGCTTAAGTGACTCACACACATGAACACAGTCACATCAGAACAATGAGGTCCAAGCATTTGTTTAATATTCTCAATCTCATAATCTCAGAGGTTAAACTGAAAGAGAGAGCATATATACAATTCCTTATAATACCGGAAAACTGTCCCTAGCTACAGAAAGCACAGTTCGTTGAACCAGGAAGTTGGCATGTAAACTGGAATGGGTGTGAGAAACTCACACCTCATGCAATAATTTTTTCTTTAAAATAAATGTGACTAACTTGGTTTCTTTCAAACAGTCTGACCTTGTGACTGTTCGTGTTTATCGCACCGTTACATTTATTTTCAATAACTACCGTCCAAGATCTTAGCAATTAACCTATGAGTTCAATCTGCCTGCCTGCGATCTGCGATCTACGGAGGCCTGCTCCCACCTGTAGAATACGGCTGTACTGGAGAGGTTTTTACCCCGGAGTCGTCGCGGAGAGACGGAGTGGATCCACGCTTCGGGCTTGGCCTGCTTCCACCGGGCGTGTGCTGCTGTGCGGAGGAGGATTTTACCACCGCTGGGGCCTGCTTTCCACCTGTCCTGGTTCTGCTGTTGCAGAGGCCTGCTTTCACCCCGGGGATACCACGGAGGGACCGGAGCACTTCCACGCTGCTGTTTTCGCCTGTCCTTTGCTGCTGTGCTGATTTTGCTCCAGGATCATCGCGGATACTGTGTGCTGGTCTGGGAAAATGGCCCATATCGGGATTCTGCTGTGCCTGTTAACTGTTTTGGACTATGAGAAGATCTCTAGTCATTCTGAGGAGACTACTGGATTCAGGTCTGTTCTGCCACCCGCAGTGGGCATCCCCTGCAAAGGTTCGGATGTGTTGCTCAAACAATTACCGGTTGCCTTGTCACAGTCAATCTGCTCGACAAAATATGTTTGTCTTTTTTATTTTCCTGCGATGATGGTTCTTCAGGACTGCTTCTTAAGCTCTAATCACACTCTCGCAGACTTTTCCGGTGTTTCTAAATTAGATGACAATGTATTTGTGTCGTTTAAGAGGAAAAGATGCCTGGTTTTTTTGTTGTTATTACTGTCAGGAAATGTACAACCTAACCCTGGTCCGCCCAGTAGTAGTAGTCAGATCGCTACTCCTGCTGATTTTAAAGCTAGGTCTGGGTTGGGTTTCATCCACTTGAATGTGCGCAGTCTGTTAGGTAAACTAGATTTTGTCCGTATCTGGGCAAAATCGACTGACGCTGACGTCATTGTCTTATCAGAAACATGGCTAAATAAATCTATTTTGGCTTCTGACATTGCCTTAAATGGTTTTAATGTGTATCGTACCGACCGGCCTAATAAAGGTGGTGGCGTTGCCATTTATGTTAAGAATAAGTTCAGTGTAACCACATTAGTTTCCAAATCGATCAGTAAGCAATTTGAATTTTTAGCCATAAATATAGAAGTGGCAAAGGGGCAACAGGTCATGGTGGTGAGTTGTTACAGACCCCCCTCAGCTGTCAAAGACTCCTTGTCTTCACTAGCAAATCTTTTATCACAACTAGACTACAAGGAAATAGTGCTACTTGGAGATTTTAACTGGGACTGGTTAACTGCAGTGTCAGAGGATTTTAAAAACCTTTGCATCTCTTTGAATGTTACTCAGATTGTTGACAGTCCTACTCGCCCAAATATTAAGTCCCCTAATAAATCCTCCCTAATTGATCTCATTTTAACTAATGTTCTCCATAAATATTCATCTGTGGGAGTATTTGCAAATGATCTGAGCGATCACTGTGTTGTAGCCACAATTAGGGACACTAAGGTTCAAAAGGTTAAACCTTGCATTATCATTAAGAGAGACAAAAAACATTTTGTGGAGCAGGGTTTTGTGCATGATCTGTTTGATTTTGATTGGGGTAAAATCGATCTGTGTGCTGATGTGGAAACCGCATGGTCTTATTTTTATCTTGGTTTTATGGAGATCATTGATAGACATGCACCCCTGCGTAAATTTAGAGTAAAGGGACGAGACAATCCTTGGTTTTCTGCTGAGCTGTCTAGTCTCCTTCATGAGAGAAACAAGGCCTGGGCAAAGGCTAGGCAATCAGGCTCAGAGGTAGAATGGCTGCGTTTTAGGCAGCTAAGGAATAGCTTCACTTCAAATGTCAAAAGTGCAAAGTCGAAGTACTATTTGTCAGTTACCACAGATAACCTAAATAATCCTAGGAAATTTTGGAAAGCAATAAAATCGATATCCACCGGTGAGATCCGTAATGAGCTACCTCCTTGCCTTACCACAGCATCTGGCACTATATCGGACAGGGCCACTATGTTAAATTGCTTTAATGAGCATTTTGTGTCCTGCGGTTCTATCTTTGATTCTGTTTCTAACTCTGCTTCTGTGAACACCCCAATCCGTGACTCTGAACAATGTGTTCTGGAAAACCCTTTCAGTTTTACTCCTTTTACTGTCAATGTTGTTCATGAAGCCTTATCTAAGCTAGATCCTAAGAAACCGGCTGGCCCGGACAACGTAGAACCTTTCTTTTTAAAGATAGCTGCAGATTTTATTGCTCTTCCTCTTACTACTCTTTTTAACCTCTCCCTCAGCACAAATGCAATTCCAAAAGTATGGAAGTCAGCTTATGTCTTGCCTTTGCTAAAAGGAGGGGAGGCAACTATTTTAAATAACTATAGGCCAATCTCTAAATTGTCAGTTCTGGCGAAGGTGCTCGAACGCCTAGTGAGTGAACAGGTAAAGGAGTTTTTATGTAAAAATTATATCCTGTCTAAACATCAGTCAGGCTTCAGAAAGCAACACAGCACCATCACTGCCACAATGAAAGTGGTGAATGACATTACGAGTATTTTAGATAATAAGCAGAGTTGTGCAGCTCTATTTATTGACCTTTCCAAAGCGTTTGATACCGTTGATCATCGCATCTTAAAGCAGAGGCTACTCAGTATCGGCATATCCAGCCATGCAGTGGGTTGGTTTGTGAACTACCTCTCTGAAAGGTCCCAATGTGTTCACTTTGATGGGCTGTCTTCTGAGTGGTTAAACATTGCTAATGGTGTTCCTCAAGGCTCTGTTTTAGTTCCACTTTTATTCTCCATATATATCAACAGTTTAGGTGAAAATGTGGATGAAGCTACTTTACATTTTTATGCTGATGATACCGTGATGTACTGTGCAGGTCCCTCCATTAAGGAGGCTGGTGTTAAATTACAGGATGTTTTTAACATTATTCAGACTCAGCTTGCTGAACTTAAGCTTATTTTAAATGTTGATAAAACCAAGGTAATGCTATTTTCAAAAGCTAAAAAGACACCAGAGCCTGTTTTGGATATTGTTACTATGCAAGGACAAGTACTTGAAGTGGTTACCAGTTATAAATACCTAGGTATCTGGCTTGATGATTGTCTTACTTTTAAACTTCATGTCAATAACCTGCTTAAAAAGCTGAGGGTTAGACTAGGTTTCTTTTTCAGAAACAAGTCCTGTTTCTCACTTGAGGCCAGGAAAAGGCTAGTCACTGTGACCTTTTTACCTGTGCTGGACTATGGTGATTTGTTGTATATGAATGCACCTGCCTATTGCCTGAACAAGTTAGATGCCGCCTATCACAGCGCATTGAGATTTGTCACAAATTGTAAAGCACTTACTCATCACTGTACCCCGTATGCCAAGGCAGGTTTGCCATCACTTACTGTAAAGAGGCTCAGTCATTGGTACACGTTTATTTATAAAGCTTTGTTGGGTAAACTCCCATATTATATCTGCTCTCTGATAACACAGAGAGTTGCAAGCAGCTATTGTCTGAGATCGCATGATGTAGTATTGTTAGATGTGCCAAGAGCAAGGACTGTCTCAGGTAAGACAGCTTTTATGTGCACAGCTCCACTTGCTTGGAACAGCCTACAGCAAGAATTTAAACTGAGCAATCTCATTCCTCTGCATGTTTTTAAAGCTAGGCTAAATGAAATGCTCGTTGATACTATGGCCACTTGTAAATGTCTATAACTATGTAAATGTATCCTGTAAATATAATATATAATGTCCTTTATTGTTTTATGTTTGATGTGGAACCTATATGCTGCAGGTCTCCCTTGAAAAAGAGATCTATGATCTCAATGGGACCAATCTGGTTAAATAAAGGTTTGAAATTAAATTAAATTAAATCTTCTTCTTACCAAAAATAATCATTAGAAATAAGATCAACATTGTTATGTTTTTAATCACAAACTGCCATAAATCCATCAACCATGAGACCATGAGCAGTCTCAACAGGCCTGCTCTCATATTTACCTGTTTAAATCTAGCACTAGGCACAAAGGCAATTTTTTGTAGTGGCCAAACGGTGGTACTAAAACTTCTCGGTCAAAATACTTTATTCAGTTGGGAATGTGAGGTCTGTCATTTTTTGCGAGAGACTTAGAGCAACTTTCATAGGAATGAATGTGGCCTGCCTCTAATGCTGTATCCAGTTCCCTTTATACATCCATGGTTTAATGTGTAGTGAAGGCCTCTCCTTGTCCTGCACTCTTCCAGGTAGGGGAGCGTTTGGCCCGTTATGATGTGGAGAAGCGATGTGCAATCGAAAAGGAAGACTATGATCTTGCCAAGAAGAAGAAGGAGATGATGGAGGAATACAGGACGAGCGTCTACCAGCAGCTGGAAGTCCACCACCTGCTGGACATGTCAATAGTAAGTAAGCATGTTTTATATGTTTTATAAATATATTTGTATTCAAGGTGTTGGTGTTGAACAAGAAGAGAAATAAAGGAATATGGGGGAAATAATGACTTATCCTGCCTAAACTGAGTTAGTAACTGAACAGGCTGTTGTCCATCATGGATAACCCCACCCATCCTCTCCACCTGCAGCTGGACAGACAGCGGAGCTCCTTCTCCAACAGACAGCTGACACTCCGCTGTCACAAGGACAGATAAAGGAAAACATTCCTGCCCACTGCAATAACACTGTTCAACAAATCACCTTTGGCTGGCAGAGAACTCTCTGCTCCATAGTTTCTCTTGGAATAAAATCACACTACATTTTACATTTATATATTCAGTTTAATATTTAATATTCCATCTGTCACATACTCATGTAAATATAATACCTTGCTTTATATCTTCTTATTGTTAATTCGTAATTTTCTACTTTCTTCTTTATTTCTTGTCTTTTAATTTGTATTGTACAATGCCATGTCTTTTTACGCTGCTGCAACACAAACATTTTCCAAATTGGGATCAATAAAGTACTATCTTATCTTATCTTCTTCTACCTTTTGATCAGATCACACATGTCGCAGATTCCTCTCCATCTCGGGAACCTCCCTCCCTTCAGCCTTCTCCAGGTCACTCTTCAGTTCCCACAAAATCCCTAATTTCAACCGACATATTTAAGAAGGGGAAGAAAAAGGACGCTCCTCAGAATCAACAGTTAGATGCGGAAACTATTGTTCCCAAGCCAAGCAACCAATCTGACTCAACGTGTACCCCCGTTACAGTACCCCGGATTGATGTAAGTGACACTTTAGGAAATGCATCATAAAAGCATAAAACATGTCTGACACCTGCAGCATCTTGTCACACAGGCAATCAAAGGCTGTATTTATACTGCATATTTTAACAACAATCTAAAGTGGTTTACGAATAAATCTTAAGACATTGTAAATGGGCTTTTCCAGTCTTTACGACCCCTCAAAGCACTTTACATATACAAGTCAGCATTCAGCCATTCACAGCCATTCATAGAGAGGCAGGGGCTGCCATGCAAGGTGCCACCTGCTTCAGGGAAGTAACATTCCTTCACGTTCACACATCGTTGGCCATGCCATCAGGAGAAACTTGGGGTTAGGTATCTTGCCCAAGGACACTTCGACATTGTTGACTAAAGGGTTCTTCCAATTGTTAAAAACAGTAATTCATTAAAAGGCCAAGAGAACATATATATTATATATGTTTTATATATGTTGTTTTCCAGATATATTGAGCTTAAAAAATCTATAACAACAATTGGTTAAAGACAATATTGATGGTCTGATGACAAACCCACCCAAGGTTTTAATCCAGTTGTACACAGCTGTATCTTGTTGTAACAATAACCCAGTCTTTTGTAGCACCTCACCTGTCTTAAGCCTCTGTAGTGTTGGGAGATTATGACCAGCTGGGGCTGTTATGCTTTACTCACCACCTACTGGGACCGGCCCTGCTGCAGGTTTGGGTTTCACTATTTAATTAAAAGCGTGCAACAGTTCGCTGACTCCAGCGGCTGCCAACCTGGCCTCAAGGCAGGGCTTTGAGCCTGGTACCAGGCAGAGGGGTGCCAGTTGGCCCCGGGGCCGGCAGACGGTCCCGACCGGGTGGAGATTGGGTTTGTATGGACGGGGTTAAACAGTCATTGTCATCGTGTTGTTGATTGATCGACCCTTTCAGTGATCAAATGCTAGTGAGAGTTAGTGAAAAGAACAAGGGACATGTGATGATGAATTTTTCAAAAGGTTGGACATCCTTGTCAGACTCAAAAGTGTGGATCAGTTTTCTTTGGACTGTTAAACGGAGGTATCAATAGAAGAAAAAAAATGTTTTTCTACTATTACTTGATTACTTCATCAGTATCCAGGTTAAAAACACAATAAACAAAACTGGTCTTGTGGTCTTGTCTCTATTTTTATTTGATTTACAAACAGGATTGTATATATTTGTATTTTTTAAATGTTTTAATGCACATTCTTATTTTGATTTCTTATGTGTATATATATTTGTATTCTATTTATCTTTTATTTTAGTCTAAAATGAAGCAACTGTCATGAAACCCAATTCAACCCAAGATAAATAAAGCATTCTGATTTAAAATGTATGTAAATACCATATGTAATGCTTTAAATGCCAATGTACTGTTTTCTTGTGCTGACAGGTTATCTGTATGCCTTACGATGAGAGGCCGCTTCCAGTCCAAAGGAAAGACCGGCCTGTGGAGGTGTCTCTGAGCCCCACACAGCAGCTGTCACCCCAACCTGACGCCCAAAGGACTCCGCCCAGCCCTGAGATGAGCGGAGAGGCAGAGCCCTTGACGGAGAAGGCCCAGAGAGAAGCCATCCTTCCAATAGAAGTCTATGGAGAAAGACTGGTAAGAAGAAAAAGATGGAGAACTGGAAAAACATGGCTTTGCTAAGCTAACTAAGTGTTTTACTTTCTACACACAATTTTTTTTCTACATACAGTATGTGCTCAGAATAACGTGTGTTTTTTATGTATAGTTAAAGCCAGTTCTCATTGCTCTGTTTTTGCTGTCCCAGATATCTTTGAATCAACTCTCATCCTCTCTGGACTCTCTCTGTCCTCTCACATCTCGGCAGGCTCGTCAGTCCCCTCCTGCTCCCTGGCTAAATGACGCACTGTGTGCTAATAGAACCGTCCTTAGGGCAGCAGAGCGGAAACGGTGGAAATCCAAACACCGTGACGACCTCCTAACCTATCAGGCTCTCCTCTCCTCTTTCTCTGCTTCGATCTCTCAGGCAAAAAGCACTTTCTTTCAAGATAAGATCCAATCTTCCTATTCCAATCCCAAAAAACTATTTTCCATCTTCTCCACCCTCTTGGACCCTCCAAAAGCTCCTCCCCCCTCCTCACTTCTGTCAAGCGACTTTGTTAACCACTTTGAAAAAAAGGTTGATGATATTCGCTCTTCTTTTTCTGACTCACCTCTACTCACCGCTGGGTCACCAGACCCCCCTTCCACCCACACACTAACCTCCTTTTCCCCTCTCTCTCCAAGTGAGGTTCTTACCCTCATTACTTCTGCCCGCCCTACCACCTGTCCTCTGGACCCTATCCCTTCAAACCTCCTTCAGACTATCGCTCCTGATATTCTACCGTTTCTCACCCATTTCATCAACACTTCTCTAACTTCTGGTCAGTTTCCAAACAGTCTCAAGGAGGCAAGAGTAAACCCTCTCCTAAAGAAACCCACTCTCAACCCGTCTGATGTTATAAACCACAGGCCTGTCTCTCTACTCCCGTTCCTGTCTAAATCACTTGAACGCGCTGTCTTTAAACAACTCTCCTGTTATCTCAATCAGAACAACCTTCTGGATCCGCACCAGTCTGGTTTCAAGGCAGGTCACTCCACAGAAACTGCTCTCATTGCTGTCACTGAGGAACTGCACACTGCCAAAACAGCATCCCTCTCCTCTGTCATCATCCTGTTGGACCCGTCTGCTGCATTCAACATGGTGAATCATCAGATCCTCCTTCACACTCTCCAAGAACTTGGAGTGTCAGGCTCAGCACTTTCCCTCCTCACCTCATACCTCAAAGACCGCACCTACAGGGTTACTTGGAGAGGGTCTGAGTCCGACCCTTGTCAATTAACTACAGGGGTCCCTCAGGGCTCTGTTCTCGGTCCCCTCCTCTTCTCCCTGTACACAAACTCGCTCGGATCAGTCATTAGCCCGCATGGTTTTTCATACCACTGCTACGCTGACGACACCCAATTAATTCTGTCCTTTCCCCGCTCAGAGACCCAGGTCGTCGCACGCATCTCTGCTTGTCTAGCTGACATCTCTCAGTGGATGTCTGCTCATCACCTCAAGCTCAACCTTGACAAGACTGAACTGCTTTTCCTCCCGGGAAAAGATTGTCCCACTCTTGACCTGACAATCAACATCGGCACCTCAGTTGTTTCCCCGACTCAGACTGCAAGGAATCTGGGTGTGATCCTAGATAACAACCTGTCCTACACTGCAAACATCGCTGCTACAACCCGTTGCTGCAGATACACGCTTTACAACATCAGGAAGATACGTCCCCAGCTGACACAGAAAGCGACGCAGGTTCTGGTCCAGGCTCTCGTCCTCTCACGCCTAGACTACTGCAACTCCCTCCTGGCTGGTCTACCTGCATGTGCCATCCGACCTCTGCAGCTCATCCAGAATGCAGCGGCTCGTCTGGTCTTCAACCTTCCTAAATTTTCCCACACCACTCCGCTCCTCCGCTCCCTTCACTGGCTTCCGGTAACTGCTAGAATCCACTTCAAGACACTGGTACTTGCATACCATGCTGCGAATGGATCTGGCCCTTCCTACATCCAGGACATGGTTAAACCGTACACCCCAGCACGTGCACTACGCTCTGCATCAGCCAAACGACTCGTTGCGCCCTCGCTGCGAGGGGGACCCAAGTTCCCATCAGCAAAGACACGTGGGTTTGCTATCCTGGCTCCAAGATGGTGGAATGAGCTCCCCATTGACATCAGGACAGCAGAAAGCTTGCACATCTTCCAGCGCAGACTGAAAACTCATCTCTTTCGACTCCACCTCGAGCGATAGAATTACTAACAAAGAACTGCTAACAGAGCACTTATATACTAATAAAGGACTGGCTTATCTATAGCCAGTTGAGTAGCACTTGAAATGTTTGGCTCTATGAAACATGATGTACTTATATGATTCTGTTTTCTTCAAGGTTGTGTCTTCCTGGTCGAATGTACTTATTGTAAGTCGCTTTGGATAAAAGCGTCAGCTAAATGCAATGTAATGTAATGTAATACGTGAACAGATAAAAAGCTTGCATTACTCAAAATACCAAAACCAAAGATATGTTAGAGATATTTTTCACTACACAAGCTTTGTTCACCAATGAATCGAGTAATTACCCTCCTTTTGGCTCTTTTTTGGTATTCATCAACTCTTGAGAAAAATACACAATAAGCGCGTGAATACGTTCTGTAGCTACAAGATGGTCAGCTCAGTTTTCAGCTAGTTTCTAACATCGTCTTGTATTCTGTGCCGTCATGCGCAGGTATTGTAAAGTTGGATTCATCAGAGATGTTTTTATTGCTGAAACCTTTGCTTGTAGACGCTGGAATAAAGACTTAGGTTGAGTTGCGACATTTTTCACAATTATAGTCATTTTATCCATTGATAATATATGAAATAGTGATTAGCCCTAGGAAGGCAAAAAGCTGAGGTACGCTGAGCTAGCAGATGATGGGCGATTCCGTGGCTGGGAAGCAAAGGTTCAGCCAGATGAGGTAGGCTGCAGAGGGTTTGTAGCAACATCTATAACGAGGCTAATCAGTGAGGTCGGAGTAAGAGCCACGACCCAAAGGAAAGCCTCTTGAGAACTGCTGAAAAAGGCAGTCAGTGGCTCTGGAGGAACATACATGAATCCACCATGGCCCTCAAGTGAGTAGATGGCATTTAGGGGGTGAGCCTGGGACGCTGGGATTTACTGCTGAACCCTCTTGAGGTGTCGTGGGCCTATCAGCGAAACATCGAGGAAAGAGTGCGCCCACTTGATAACCCAAAGGATTCCATCCCACACTTGATCATCCTGCAGAGTCCAGGCAGCAGCATGTCTCTAGAATGCAATCAAAGCATATTACCACCTACTCCTACATAAAAGATTTAGCACAGCTTTATGGAATTATTTTTTCAAAACTTTTGTTGATTTGGCAATTAGTAAAACAGGCTTGTATTAAACCATTTATATACGGTACACAGAATTACACACATCTTTATCCACATCTACCCACATAGCTGACATATGTGATATCTTTTCGCCGCCTCTTTACTTTTCCAGGTGGCAGGGGCATATTCCAGAACCTGGTGCTACAGAGAGGATGCTCTCCTGGCTGTGTACAAGAAGCTAACGGAGCTATCACCCACCACCCCCAAGGAGGATCTGAGAAACATGACTAGAGCTGCAGTCTTCCTGGTCAAGAAGGCCCTCCTGGATAAAGTGTCATCTGTGAGTAATGTCCTCGAAAGACAATTCATTCTGCTGTGAATTGAATTAATGTAACAGAAACTAAAGAAGCCTCTTAGCCAATAGGGATATATTTACTTTGTCAATGTCGAAGTTTTGTTTAAATCATGTTCTCCGGATTCCTGTTGCACAGTTAGATCATAAGCACACACTCTCTAACATGCAGAGTCCTAACAATGTTCCCCCTGTCACGACGTATACAACCCTAGTTCTCTCTCCCAGAGCTGGCTTCCTTACACAAACACTGTTGACAAGGATGGCCTTGTAACCCCTCGCTAGAAGTCGTCTAAGGCTTGTATGGTAATGAAAAGTAGCGCCACAATAACTGTAGTGATTTATTTTCTTGTCTTATTGATTCACAGAAGGCTCCATTAAGTAGTCAGCGGGTTCATTTTCTGCTCCACAAATGTGCGTTACTTTAGTTCATGTCATATACTGTACGCCTTTCTCTGGCAATTCAGTGGGATAAGCTGCATGTCATGTTGTTACACCCTGGCTATGAAATAAGCACAGCGTGTTTTATAAATCCCTTTCCTTTTGAAGATCACCTTGTGACCACAAAATACCACACATCATTTTAATCTATTGCATCATTTAAGTGATATGGAGAAAAGCAGGTGCCTGTGCTTCCCGCTGTAAGGCCACTTTCTTGTGGGTGGATTTATTAATACATATGCTTTTATTTTAAAAACCTTATGCTGAGATGCTGCTCCAACAGTCCCGCAATTTTAGATCTAGACTACATGGGGATTTATAATTTAATTGAAGTAAATGAGTTTTTCCATGTTTGTATGCACCGTGATAACGATTAGCTACCAAAAATAACCTATATAGTGATTTATTAGAAGAGAACCAAGCATCAGACATTCAGCACTCCCATGATTCCCAAACGGAATGGCCCTTTGTTTCATAACCACATTTTCCCGCCACTGCGCCAATCTGATTTAGATTGGCAGTTGAATTTCCTTAGATCAAATAGTGAACTATTTGGCACGACCCCTAGCATTCACTACTGATGTTTGTCCCTCTCCCTCTGCATACCCACTCAGAGTAAACATTGCAGAGTCGAGCCTCTCTGCTAATTGATCACCCTGGTGTTACCTTTTCTTGGAAAGTCTACTCCATTTGGAGCTAAACGTCCCTCCGTCTCTCCTCAGGTTTTCAACGCCTCCTTGAAGGTACTGCGACTGCTGCTGAGTCAGCTGATCCCGGGTCTGGGCCGGTCTGAGGTCACCCACTGCGTAGATCAGGCCTGGCCCAACCTGCTGGCCAGGACTGGGGACTCAGCCAGCCGCATCCGGGGCACGGCCACTGCCTTCATACAGGTATTAACACACGAGATTAACATGTTGATTTACATTAATTTGCTTCCTAGCTTTGACTGAGGAAAAGATAAATGTGCAATATCCCTCTCTACTTTTTTCCCTTGTGTGAAGCTCTGTTGGAACTTTTGCCTGAACATTTAGAAAAATCAGCACCCTCATTATCTTTTACGTCATAAAACAATGTTAAATCTTACTTGGTTCTTGGTGATAATCTTATTTTTTAATGGTTATTATATGCCATTTAAAGGGATTTCTTGACGTTCGATTTTCTCACACACCAAAAGGGCAGAACACCTGTTATCTTGTAGCCAAAACAAAATGATTTAAGTGACCATCCCATCCCTGAGGCAGTTACAGTTACCAGGACAGCTTGACTGCAAACAACTACGCACCAATACAACCAAAACAATATTCGCGCACCATAATCACATGAATACTTACAATGAAGTATTTATGTCTGTAAAGGCAAGTTAAAGGAGTGAGAATAAAGTACACATTTTCTAAGGTGTGCCATTGAGATCCAAAGCCATAAGGATATTCCTGCTTATTTTTGCATCGAGAAGTACAAATACAAATGTTGTTAAATGTCACCAGCTTTACAGAGTGAAGTTAGTCGAGATTTGAGAAAAGACAGTTACAAATATGTAAAAAAATTATTCTGAATCAGTTATCTTATTCCAAAATATAGGAGATTTTGTTAATTTAAGCTTCTAAATTTGAGAATTGTAGGCGCTCTAACTACACATATGAGAGACATAGCTTCTATGTATAAAGGCATCTTTATTTGTTCATCCTGTACACCTTAATCTCATCAATATTTCATTTTGGCGCAGATGGGTAAGTAACTGTGGTTCTCAAAGAGTTCAGATAATAAAAAAGATATCCCGATTGACATGAGGCGGATCTGTTATGATTAGGAATCGTAAGCGGAGTGAGCAATTCATCACAGCTCGAAGGTGAAATGAAGAATAAATGAGTCATTGCTATTAACACCACGCCTTTAGATCAGATTAAAGCACAGAATGATTCATTATTCATCATGGTTTTATTTCTGAAAAAACCTAGCATAAAATGCACTTATTGCATCAGATCACAGTGTAGTACTTGATACTTTAATTTGTATTATACGCTAATAACTCTGGTGCTGATCAGAAGCCTTTGTAATGAGGCCATGGGAACCATTTGTTGTTTAAAACAAGAGAACTAACCTTCCCGGTCTTTCTAATTCAGTCCTTATTGAATATTCAACGCTTTGTATTTACGCTATAGGATAATGCTTTCTTTGCTGTGCCATTATTTAACATTTTAATAATAATATATATTTGATTTTAACTGTAGCATTTGACATTAGTAAGCCTGAACTAGCAAGGGTTTGGCATTGTTGCTTGAGAAATGGCCTAAATGACTTTGTAGTAGCCAATTAGCATTATATTATATATAAGTAGAAACCAACGTTTGTTTACTCAGGTTCCACCGGAAAGTTAAGCAGTTTTTGACCATACACACCACGACACACACACCTACTGCTGGGGTAAAGTTAGGCTACCTAAGTTAGTGTGTTTAAAGTGTCATGACTTGTATGCTGATTAAAAGCTGATTCGAATTTAATGGACAACAGTATCTGAAAAAAATAGTGTGTTCAATTGGAAACCTTTGTATAGCGATTTATTTTTCATTCAAGCTAAAGTGTGTGTCAGTCATGTGAACACAGCATCACCTCAGAGGCTTAATGCGTTAGCTTAGCCTCTACACTATTAAACAATTTGTTGTGGACCACTTCATTGTTTGTTTGGCTAATCCTGTGGCTGAATTCTTCCTGTAAGCATTGTCATTAAATAAACCCTTGTGTCAGTAAATATATGTTTCAATGGCATGATTAGTAATCACAGTAAATACATACTCATTCCCTGGCCATGAATTCTGTGCACCTGCACGACACACTTACGATTCATCTGTGTGCTTAACTTGTTTTTTAAGTGCATGTAAACACAGATAATGGCTTTGGTTAAATGGAGTATGTTTTGTTCTTTGAATGGACCGCACCCACAACTCTGCATTTAAATCAGTGACTAAAAAGGTGCATTATTTACACGCCCCACTGTAAGCAAACAACTCTAGCATGTGTGAAACTCAATGGAACTTTCCTCCAAAGGCAACATTTGAAAGAAATTGCCTAGGCATGCTTCTCTGTGTTTTTGGATTGAGATATAATACTTTATCTCTCTAAAACTTTATGATTCTCCCCAGGAACACTGAGCTTATTTGAGTAAACTTGCACTTTCACTCTTATTCCCATGTCAAAAAAAGGATTTTGAACAACCTGTCTTGTTGATCTATGTATTGCTAATATAAGATCCTGTAGTCTTCTCAACCAGGTGCAAGCCTGAGGGGATATTTTGCGTTTGCTCATGTGTGTGTATTAGTGTGTACATCTGTCTGTCTGCAGCTAATCTCTTTTACTTTTCGATTGATCAACTTTATATTTAATGAGATCATTTACCATAGGTTTGCTCAAGGTCAGGTTCCAGGGGATCACAGTTCAAGAAAAAAGTGTTTTATTGACTGTTTTATACTGTCATTTGGCCTGCAAATCAACAATCAACAACAAGCAAAAGGCATTTCCGGATGTCGGTTAGAGTAGAAACAAGCCTTAACTAATCTGCTGCACGTCACATTTTGGTGGTTCAGAAACTTCCATGAAAAATGTAAACTCAATTTGAACCAGTACTTTTGCAAATGTATTACATAACTGATATGCTGTGATCTATTAAATCCCGTAAATGTTGGTATACTATAATCCCACTGTTGACCGTAGCTATAAAAAATCATGCACCCTATTTCTTTAACACCTTTCATACATGTGCTGCTTTTTCACCCTGTCTATAAAACTGTCTGTATCTATGATGAATGAGGTAGTGTGTTTATGAAACCTGCTGATTCAGCAAGTAGCTAAAGCGGGGGTGTTGCTGTTTTGGTGGTATGTGTCTCAGCCATGGGCGTCGCAGCCATTATATCAGGGTGGGACAAGTCCCCCCCACTTTTTTAAATGATTAGTTTAGACCCCCCCCACTTTTACCACGTGGAAAGTCCGTGAATCGGTCTATCCACTCGCCGCACTTTGTAGAGAGCTGTGTCAGTGCTTCACTATCAAATCCATTCCACTTGCTTATTGAGAGAATGCCCAAATCAATGAAACTCTGTACCATGTTTTCACTGCTACTTTAGTTTGTACCAAGGCAGATTCTCCCATAGCGCGCACATGTTCCAGGAGTGTTGTCATAGTTGGACAGCTCAGATCTGTTGTATGAAGCGATGCCGGTAGCGGAGGCTACCATTAAGTGTGCCATTAAGGCACACACACCAAATGTTCAGGAAATGGTTAATACAGCGAAAATCAAAGCTGACGATCTCTTGGTTTGATATGTTTTCTCCCCCAGACAACATGGACATAAGAAAAAAAATTTCAAAGAAGAGGAAAGTAAGTCTTCAGCTGGTAGCAGTTAATCAGTTAACAGTGATGGCAGCGGCGGCGGCGTCTTACTTCTGGAGAGGAGTTTCGTCTTTATGTCATGATAGAGAGATACAAATACTGAATAGTTTAGATGAGAAAAGGCATCGAAATGCCAGGTTACTAGTATTTATCATGTAAACAGGGAACATGAATAACCCGATCTCTCTGTGCTCATGTAAACACCATGATGTCCATGTAGAGACGCAGTCAGTGTGTTTTACTGGAGCCTCAGTTCGATAAGAGATTATTTTCTGAGTTCTTTAACTTCGGTACTCTCTCTCAAAATGGTAATGTTCATTATGTTTTAATTATACTTCTTATCATTCAGAAGCTTTTTGTGTGTGTTTATGTTTTACTGAGTGCTTATAGGCAATTTCCATCCCAGTATCAGTTAACTGTTTATTTTCTGTGCACATTACATATAGCTAATATTCTACCTATTTTCTTGGGACTTTGAGTCTTCAAAATGTCCAATGTCACAGACTGGGACTTACTTTAGAGTCAGTTGTATTTACATTCAGTACTTGTTATGATTCAATGTGAAAGAGTATACTGCTCAGTAAATAATGATCACTTCACCACCTCTCTTGACATCTAGGCGCTTGAGAGTGAGTCAGAGGCAGAACACAGGGACAGTGGAGAGAGGTCCATTGCTGAGGTGAGTGATGAAAGGGAAATGACAGTTTAGAGTAAATTGTGATGTGGACTCTCATCCCAGAATTTTAAGGAAATCAGTGGGGATATTGAACAGGAAGCATTTCAGTCAAGGGGCATCATATGACCAATATAGACAGAAGAGCAACATTTATTTGAACAAGTCAATGATACCATTCCTAGGTGAACTTAACATCTGTATGGAGTCAGATCAGTCTCAATATTAATAAATGCTCACAGAAGGATTCACAAATGTATTTTGCGATGTATATATAAATTACTATCCACAACAATATCTCTCAATGCACTCACAAATATTTATTGTTGTATATAAATGTACAAAAAATTGGCATTTAAACTGCTTTTTATTAATTCAAAGACGGCTCTGAATTAATAATCAAATAGGTTTCCTTTCTTCAAGAATGAAATTACAAAATGTACCCATCATTTTCCTCATGCTAGTATAGCCACATAAAAGTATCAAACCACCTAAAATGCACCAGAAAACAGGAAATCTATTTTCTTTCGTGGGGGAGGACCCCCACACCCCTCGTTAAAAATGTCCCTCCCACATTCAGGATGCTTCCTACGCCCATGGTCTCAGCCTTTAGTTTCTAGCCAGTTTTGTATAGATATTTTTCGAAGCTTAAGAGCTTTAAAGGCTTTTTAAGATGCTGGAAAAAAAGTAAAATGCAATGATACAATCAGACTCCTGCATCCATGCACTGTATTGACCTAATCAAAGTCTGCTAATTCGAGGGTTTATAATATGTTTTTCTTAATTACTTTTGCAGTGCGCTGTGTTGTAGCACTGATATACAGGGAGAGTTACGAG